AGAAATTAGTGATATGCACCAGATTGTGAAATGATGATGATATTTCGGGCACCGCAAGAACTTGGGCTTGTGAATGCCACTGGATCCTCTTCAAATTTATTTTCCGAAACTTACGCCAAGAGCTCGTATTATTAAATATTGCTGCATCACTAGAAACAGTGATGATACCAGTGAGCTTTCCCTCCTCATATAGTGGGCTCTTACTGACCATTGCCATGAAACTTTGACCAGACCTCTTCTTGAGAAGGAGTTGACCCGACCATGATTCCCCGGTGCATAGCCTATCCATGATCTCGAGAACTGAAGATTGATGCACTTCATCAAAAAGAAGCTCGATCACACTCTGCCCAACTACTTCATTATCTTTGTACCCATAAAGTTTTTCAGCTGCATAATTCCTGTAACGTGGGATATTTATAAATTTGTTATATTCCAAACGGCCAAGAATAGTTATTTCTTTATGTTTGTTAGGTAAAGATAGTGGATTCAGTGAAGCTTTGTTTTTTGTAAAGGTTGAGTAATATTTACTTCCACATCAAATTTTCCTCTCTTTTGGAGAAGTATGCAGGTACCTAGAGTTTAGGTAGATGAAACCTATTTGCATCCTATATATGACATTTTGAAATTTGGGCAACCATCTAATCTAAAAAGTTATGAACCAAGGTAGATCAGCCTTCCTAATTGCAGTTGACCATTATGGACAGTTAGTCAAGATGCCAAACAGTTGTGTAGTACATCCTTGGAGAAAATCCCCAGTTTTAAGCAAGCACGGTTAGAATCAGCCAGTTGATATCTTGGATATCCAATTTATTTATTATTTATTTTTTTTTTTTTTTTTACCTCTAGCTATGGTTATGCATGAACTATTTATGGGGTGTACTCGTGATAATCAACCTCACAAATAAGACGAAATTAAACGAAAATGTACAATAGTGCCCGTGAGTAAATCTGAGTGAAGAGCAGAGTGAACTGACTTGGGAGACGACTAAGATTTAGTGAGTATTTGAATACCATAATAAATAATAAATTTGATACTATTTGACTTAATCCAGAAAAGGATAAATTAGTTATGTGGTGCATAAATACATTAATAAATAACTTTCTTAATCTGCATGAAAAAAACAAAGATGATAAATAAAACAAATGGAGGGATCAATTGACTTATTTTGCTGCTGTAGGTTATGAGAGTCGGGAATGAGAGGAAAGTATATCAAAGTGGAAATGAACATAAATGAAACATTGAAACTTGCCAAACCCAAACATCCTGAAGGCTGGTACAATGTCATAGTGTTCTTAACACTCAATTTTCTACTGAATCAATCTTATAAATCAATCTTTCCCTTACTTGTGTTTGTGCAAAAGAGTAGAGATTCTGGCGAAAGAAATTTCCTACACGTCTCTAAAGTTGAGACTTATCTCAGCTGGTATTAAGAAGCCTTATTACAGGTCAAATGAAACTGGACTAAACATACATACAGTGCAAAATAAAATTTTAATTTGTTCAATTAGTAGCCACTAGTCTATACCTCTACAGTTTTTCAGCTCTTAATTATCACCTATCCTTCTAATGTCAAACTATATCCAACCCAAAATCAAGTTGCAAAAAGTCTCACCGATGTTAGTCACATCATAATCAATGATTCAAAGAAAAAAGCTATTCAATTTCCAAAAGTTTGGATAGAGACATTCAAAGCCTTATAGTTCACGTTAAAATCAACGGCCCAAAATATTTTGTAGAAACAATATTCGATCTTTCTTAAACTGTGGGATTATTCAAAAACTTCAAATATACAGCATAACAGGGTACGGACCAAAGCAACTTGATTTTCTGAAACCCCATTTATTATTTCCCAAAAATCTGCTCAAGAACCCAGCAAAAGACCTTTTCAAAGATTCAATCTTTATGCATTACTTCATTTGCCCAAATCAAAATCAAACCATATGCAATAGTAATTAAATGAAATATAGCTCGAAACAAATTTCTAGACCAAGAACAGCTCGAAACATAGTAAATTCTAATGAAAACGCAGCTGATTAAAAACAAATTCATAAAATAAAATAAAAAAAAGGCTCACCAGTAGATTATTTCCCCTGAGCCAGTCCTGCTCACGTGAACTGCATGACCCATGTACTCCAACACGCTCCTGTACGGACTCCCGAAGGAATAGGAGCCGGGGAAGCAACCCATGCCGGAAAATGACGTCAGGCGCTCCGAATCTGACGCCACCTCCTCGTTTTCCGGAAGAAAGGTATCGCTGCTGCTGTTTCCAATCTTCTCCTGCACGAAGTTTTGAAACTGCTGCCGAAGTTTCTGGTGGCTGGCCTCTAGGCTCTCGAAGCGATCCAGAAGGAAGCGGTTGCGGCTGCTCCGCCGGGTATCCTGGCCGTCCATGGCGGGGATGGCGGTGGTGATGTGAAAACTTGCATATGGCGAGAATGTTTTTTTTTTTTTTTGCGGAGAACACGAAAATATATTAGATTCAATAAATAGTTGTGTACTTGTGTTTTAAAAATTAAAAGTGGAGGCAATATATATAAATAATGGGTAAGGCTATGGCCTATGGGGGATTTTTAAGCCACATGCTACATTAATCTAACTGTCTGGTTAAAAATCTTAACGAAATAGTTCCGTATTTATACCATCAACCATAGTGCTTAATTAATACCATGAACCAAAACTAACTTTCTACACAAAAAATAATGCTACCTCTGATTTTAAAATGTAGCCTTGTGCCAAAGCCTTCTAATTAGGAGAACTATAGTACGAAGCTGAATTTTCACAGGTTTTATAGCTACTCATGCATTAAAATAACAAAAAACTCAAGGATAGAAATTGAGGGTTTTGCATTGGGCGTTCGTGAGGGATAGAAATGAAGGAGATGAAGAAATTAGGAAGGATGAAGAAGAATTTGGTAATTTTGGTCTGCAAGTTGAAAGTTGGAAAGGGAAGAAGAAGAAGAAAAAGAGGAAAAGAAGAGGAGGGAATTACGGGAAAGAGAAGAGAAAAGGGAGAGATGAATAATGTTAAAAGTATCCAAAAGATACGGTAGAATTTGTTAACAATACGATTTTATGGTAAGATTATGTACCCCAAAAAACTGCATGTCATCTTTTTATTTAAATGTTTAGATTTATCTTTAAAAAAAAAAATGTCCTTACATAAATTGAAAAATAAAAAAGAAGCTTCGACCTGTCAAAAATTTAAAACACATTTAAGCGAGATATTTAAAAAAAGACTAAAAAAAATTACTATGGGTAGTAAATGTTTTGGCGAGAATTCTGATTATTTTTTATTTTTTATTTTAAGATTTTTTAGATTGTCTCTATATAATAATAGATATTATTGAGCCTCAAATGATAAAAGAATTTTGGAATCATAGAACTAAAATGTGCTATAGCTTAGCTGTAGGTATGTAAATAGGCCGTCTATATTTATGCGAGCATCTGTTGAAAAGTTCTTCACCAAGCCCAATAAATAACCGAAGCCCAATTACTACTTTAGCTTATGAGTCCAAGTCTAGTGCTCCAATCTGCCGCACTGTGAAAAAGTATACATCTTCTTCGAATTTCTCCACTCCGAGAGCTGCAAAACCCCACCTCAATCAGCACAAAGGATACGCCGTACGGTTAGGCGATCGGCAAATTAGGTAACCGCGGTGCAAATAATTTCTAGCCCTACGCTTTTGAGGATTGTTAGTAAATACACTCTCAGTGATCGGTGATTCGTTGGTGCAAATTTGGCTTGAGAAGGTCTTCATCAGTTGGCCATTACCCTTGATCGTGTTCTTAATAAATCCGACCTGATTTATTGATTTTTGTAAAATTCAATCTAGTAAGTAATATGTCCGATAACGGGAGAGCTGACTGTCTGAAGTTTAGTACAAGCTAGGTCCAAGGCAGCTATTGTTTACAGAAACCTAGCCTGTTCTTCTTCGAGCACATTTTTTTTTTTTTTTTTNTTTTTGGGAGATAGTTTTACGAATGTGGGTTGTTATTCCCATAAACTTCGAAAAATTTGTGGGGATCAGTCATTCAGTTGTGTGTGCGTGGGCGCGTTCAATTTCAGATCCTGATTTCTTATGGTTTCTTCTTTTTTCATCAGGTTGGTGTAGAAGTTGCTACTAACATCTACAAGGGCCCTTTGTGGAAAAGAATGGTCTTTTGTCTTTTCTGTTAGGAAATTGAAATGTCGGGGATACTCAGTGTAATTTTCTACTTTGCTGTTCATTTGGTTTGTTTTTTCTTGTGCCTATCAATTTAGTATTGCAGCTTTAATCTGTGTGATAAATTTGAAATTTGTTGAATATATCTTGATGTCTATCCCCTGTTCCCTCCTAGCACTATTCATGAAGTTATTCTCATTTTAAGGCCTCAGCAAACCTTTATATTTTCACTGAATTTTGTGGCACATGCATTGCAGTCGGGGTTGAATGGATCAAATTCAAACCTTCCAGATAACACTGGAAGAGCTTTCACAACTTCCTTTTCTGCTCAGTCTGGTTCTTCTGGAGCCGTATTGAATCAATCTGGTGGTTAACACTTTTAGTCACTTGGGTTAAGATTTATTTCTAGAGTACTTGTATAAATTAACGAACTGATTCTCTCAGCAGGAAATGTTCAAGGACTTCACAACATGCATGGTGGTGGCTTCAACATGTCCAATATACCTGGGCCATATGCCTCAAGGAATACGGCTAATCTTGGTGGTCTCCCAAACGGTGTCCAGCAAGCACCAGGAAGTATGTCCAATGGGAGATATGCAATTAACGGTCTTCCTAATGCACTTTCTCAGGTATAGCTGATGTCCCTTGATGTATTGTCGGTGACAAGATTAATCCTTCAAATACTTATGTGTTCATGCACAGAAGAGATACTATGTGCAAATAGTGGCAGCATTTTCACTCTCTACTTATGGGAGACTAATCCTATTCTGCTTTTCACCTTTGGCGTAGCTATCTCTTGGAAGTTCGCATGGGCATTCAGGTGTTACAAATACTGGGGGTATGTATTTATTTTATTTGTTAATATGCTAATGTAATTTGACTTTATAACTAATTTATTTGCTTTTATTTTTTCAGGTCCAGGTGTAATGCCAAATATGGGGAATACAGGACGTATTACAAACTCTATCGGTGGTCTTGTCAGCGGTGGAAATACTTCAAGGGGGGCTAGTACTGGGGTGGCAAACATCCCTGGTCTTGCTTCTCGCTTGAACCTGACGGGTAAATAGTTACCATCCCTGGACTTGATTTCTCAATGGCACCTTAAATTTGCCAATATTGTTGCACATTTACAATCAATGTCTATAGTAGCTTAAAATCAGGAGCCTAACATATAAATGGATAATAAACACATTAAGATGCCCTTGTGTCCTGGTAGCGAATGGATTCTGTGACTGCTGAAACCGCCTTTAGACGAATGATTTTTTAATTAGTAATTTATATGTGAAATCCTATGTATGCTTTTGCAAAGCACTTTCTTTTGTTATAGTGGCTGCTCATGTTCCATAATATCATGTGTCAATGGCTCTCCTGTATCATGCTTGGGATAAGTTTATGTTAATTTGTGGTTTTGGAACTCAAAAATCACACTAGCATTTTCTTATGTTTACCTTTGGTGCTATTGACGTGACGTCTAGAATTTCAGCTCCACAGGTGGTATCAATGCTAGGCAATTCTTATTCAGGTGGTGGTGTACCGCTCTCCCAAAATCAGTTTCAAGCTGGAAACAACAATTTTAGTTTTATGGCATTACTAAACGATTCAAATGCCCATGATAATGCTACATTTGATGTTAATGACTTTCCTCAGCTGTCTGGGCGTCCTCCATCGGCTGGTAGCTCTCATGGTCAATTAGGTAATTTAACAAAATTGCCCGTCAGTTTTGATGTATGTTGTACTTTCTGGAGTGTCTGCATAATTAACGATTTAGGGTGCTTCTTACCATGAAGGTTTGATGCAAAAGCATAATATCGGTTTTGCCCAACAGAATCAAGAATTCAGCATTCAGAATGAAGATTTCCCTGCTTTGCCTGGATATAAAGGTGCTTAAAGTTCTTCCTCTTCTATGTTACGAGGCATTAGGAGGCCCTTCCTAGGGTACCTCATATACCATTGTGTAAATAGGAGCATCCTATCTTATTGCTAGATCATTAAACTTAGTCGTGCTTTTTATGAATTTTTTTTTCGAGTTATTATTCATTCTCAATTGGGGTCAAATGCATTTACTCACGATTAACATGTTTCTTAGTAGGTAACTCCACATTAGAAATTTAGAATAATGCAATGGTTCGGATGGACTTCGCCTTTAGTGGAATAGTGTTGCTTGAAATTGAAATTTATGAAGTTTTTGTTTTGGAAATAAAGTTTTTTTGGACCAGTTATTGTTCGAAGGTTGAACTATATCCTAGCATTTTTGTGTGAATTTGCCCAGAAAGCTATGGATATGCTGAAACTGACCGGAATTTTCTAAGGGACCAAAACATTTTACCCATATATTTAAGAATCCGGATCAGTCAAACCATCTCTGATTCCCCATTTTTCTTCTTTAATAGTCAATTGAAACATTCGTTCTCCATTCTATTGGAAATTCAATACAATATCATAGGCACCAGAAATGAGTATTGAGAAGTACCTCGAATTTGGTAATTTTTGAGAAGGTGGTGGCTGTCAAGGTGTGTGTGAGGGCTGTGGGATAAAGTATGTGCTTTCCTTTTTCTGTGGCGCCCTTCCGCTTTCCCTATATTTTCTCTCTTTTCTTCAGGAAAAGCTTGTTTCAGTGAAGNGTGGTCTTTTTTTTTTGATCGGTTAAAGCAGGTGGTCTTAACGTTGGGGGTGGTGGTGAATATACCATAAATGCACACCAAAAAGAACAGATGCATGACAGTATGGCAAATTTAATGCAGTCTCAGCAATTATCTGTAAGTTGCTTTGCTCGACCACTTGATTCGCTTGGAACTTTGTGCGGATTTCCCGGAATGATTAAATTGCATGTGTTTGTAGATGGGTAGAGCTTCTGGATTCAATTTTGGGGGCTCGTATTCGTCTCACCATCCTCAGCAACACCGTGCTTCGTCCATAAATGGCACGGGGGTTTCCTATCTAACGTCAGGCAATCAAGATCTTCATTTTCATGGTCCTGAGGTATGGGTATTGTCGGTGCTTGATTTTAGCAGATCTGTTTCATGCAACTATTTTTCTTCATCCTTCATAACCTTTTTCACTGTAGATCATGTATATTCCGTCTTTTTTCTTTTTTCTTTTTTGAATTAAGATTGATGATATCTCAATTTGTATTTTGTTAAACATCACTTTACCTAGTCATACGCGATTGCTGGTTTAGCACTTCAAACTAATTGGGGGCTCATAATTTCTTGTGCAGCAGTATCAGCAA